TCTCTCCCTTCTCTCCCTTCTCTCCCTTCTCTCCCTTCTCTCCCTTCTCTCCCTTCTCTCCCTTCTCTCCCTTCTCTCCCTTCTCTCCTCTCTTTTAATGAGAGAGTCCAAAATGCCTGCCACTAATAATCCCCTTAAAAAACATAGGAAAAAAACAAATCTTCCCCAACCAAACTGAAACCTAACACTTGGCAAATGACAGGAATGGATTTGGTAAGATAGAAAAGCACTGTGTCCTTTTGRTTATATTCATGATAGAGAAAGGGAATCAAGGTAAAAGAGGGCTGTACTTGTGTGCTTCAACTGAAAAGAAATCATGGAGCTTTTCATAAAAGGAGGAGTCTCATAAGCATATGTTACTGTCTACTGCCAGCTCAAAAGAAATATATGATGCAAATCAGAAAAGCTTACATCGTTGACTTTTGCAGCTAGCAAAATCGCTCTTATTATTTGATCATTCTTTGCAGTTGTACATATGGGTATAGCCAATATAAGATGCTCCTGTCCTGATGTCTGTCAGGTTGCATGATAGAAGAGAGTCTGTATTGCTAAGGTCTGCCTTTTTATAAAGCTCCAGTTTGCTGTTGCAGCTGCCAGGTGGTAATAAATCTGAACTCCGAAAGTTTGCTCAGCCTCAAAATACTTTGCAAGAGCCCTTTATCAAGATTTAGTCTGGATTTTTATATCCTCCCATTTTTGCTTTAATGAGTGAGTAGAATAGCTTGGCAGCTCTGTAACTGATGGACTGCTGRGCTAATATTTTATTGCCTACTGTCTTTTAACCTGCTTGATTTTCTGACAGTAAGCCCCAGACCATATAATCTACTGGCTGCTCAGATATCCCCAAAGACCAAATTAGATTTCTCAGAGGCCAAAGTTTCTAGTATTACAGTGTTTTATAAAATCCGGGTTGAATGCAAGTGTTGCATGTATGCATTAAATAGGCAATTAGACTTAGATGTATTTTCCTGAAAATCAAGCTCTGGTGTTACTGGTGGATGTTACTGGGGCCCACAGTTGGGCTGTTTTAGAATTTTTTTCCACAGATATYGTGAATCTCCTATCCTTCCCTTGCTTTAGTATACCTGTTAAGTTACAGCATGCATTTAGAGAAATACCAACATTCCTTTTCTGTCCTATTTTGTTTGAAAGCAATGGGCTTCATTTCATATCTGTATTTTTGTCAAAAATCATTAGATCTTTAGGTCTTGAACCATTTATAAGGGTAAGTATTACAATAAGTTACATTTTTAGTTGCTATTTTTGGCTCCTGRAGGAATCCTGAAGGAATGCATGATTGCACATTCCTCTTTTAATTTTATTTGCTGGCCCAATGCATTTTCTTTCTTCTGTCAGAGTAAGGTAAGTTTAAAAGAAATCCCTGTTGATTGCAAGGTGTGTTTGTGTGTATTTTGGTATAAAAATCATTCAGAAAATCAATTTTGGAGGTCTTTCATAGATGCAGTGTTGAGAGAACATGAATACAGTGATTTGGGAGGGAAAGAAAAACATCAAATTACAGTAAATYGGTTGCTATAATAGTTCCTCGTGAGACATTAGTATAAATTAATGCTTCCTTTCATTGTGTCTTTCAGGTTCACTTTCATTCAGTGAGGGATTAGGAATTTGAGAGAGGAAAAAGGTAGGACTTTTTGTTTTTCTGTAATCTTGGAAAGACTTTTTCTGGCTCATTTTTATTTTCTAGAGTGTATGTTATACATTTACCTGCAAAGGACCTCAGTAAKGTGCTTTATGAATTTCAGCAACATGATTCAAAATAAAAGCGCTATGCAGTTGTTAATACTTTCTTCAGTGAGAATGTCAGGGTCCACTGTATATACTGAATGTATCACATTTGTATTGCATTTTCTTGATAACTCTTTCTAGGAGAAACAAAATGTGGGACTTGAAAGACATATTTTTAATATTTGTAATTTATTCAAAATATGAGCATGTTACTACAAATTATCTCATRTATTGTTTGTTCTAAACTATATATGTTTATCATTTCTTTGATGATCGTTGAATTAGTTTAGTAATTACTTCCATTTTTATTGACTTGTTGAATAATGATTAAAGTAATTACTTCTTTGTTCATCAAGAGCAGTCTCAGTAGTGAAAATCCATACGCATTAGCAGGTCAAAACTTAGAACCTTTTCTGGTCTAGAATTGCCTGACCAAACAAAATGGAAAAGGATACACAACAGGGCTGATTAATCTGTGTTGTAAATAAATGGGTCATTTAGTGTCCCAAAGCTCATTTTGAAACTTYTTTTGTGTTACATTTTGAGGCCAAGGTTAAGAAATGAAGAGTCTGTCTGCTGTTGTTACAGAAGCATCATCAATAAATACTGCAGTAATTGGGACAGCGGCCTGCAACACAAAAAACGAAGGCCCCGCACAGCAGACATGGGTATGTGGTAGGCTTGGTTGGTGTTCTTGGTGCCCTGTGGGCAGCGAAGAAGGGCTCTGTGGTTTGCCTGCCTTCCCAGCATCACTGTGGGCAGYACATTTTCCTTGGTCCCTTTTGCCRCTGTTCTCCTTACTCCTCCATTTACTACATGACTCAAATCAGTTGTAAAGGAAGGATAAATTCCTAGAGCTGGGCAGCCTGATTGTTTAAGGTAATTAGAAGCCCCTTCACTGAAGGTATTGGATTGTTTTCCAGAATAAGTAAACCTGAATCCTGAAAATGTTGAGTCCATGTGGACTTAGCCCAAGGAGGTTCTATKAGAATTGATCATAAGGCAGTAAGTGAGAACTACAAATAGACAAAGCTGTTTTTCATTAGAGTTCTTCAGCACTAATGAAAGAGATTCAGTGAGTTGGGGCGTTCACGACTAAAATCACACTGTGTCCTCAACCAAGCAGGGCTTTGGTATCAGTACAGTGCTCCACTTTGGACGGTAGCCTTGAATGGTGATATAGGAAAGTCAAAGCCCTGCCTTGGRCTTATGAAACTGCACAATTTAGCTACTGATGTACAGCTTTTATATCTGTATGTTTTGATTTAAGTAGAGCTCTGAGTATTTTTCTTCCTTCATTACGCATGATCTGTTTGAAGGTATGATCCTCATTACAACACAACCTCTTTTTGCTAAGCCTTCGGCTTGGCATGAAATACATATGCTGTCTGTGTGTTTCCCCACAGCTTGGGAGAGAAATGTATTMATTTTACCCAACTTCAAAATATTTTCACTATTGCTCAAGTGGCCTCCTGTCTTAGGTATCACGTATTTTTAGGTTTGCATAGGACTGGAGCATATGTGTTCTGGGATGGTCACATAGGTAATGTGGAGGACTACATTTCTGTGATAGTGATTTACGTGGGAAACGTAAGCATATTATCCTAGTAACTGACCCAGAGTGCTGCAAAGAATACACAAACCCTCTCTGATAACCACTGGAGTTCTTTCCAGCTGTCAAGGGTTTGTTTCTAGTGTTTGCATTTACAATGAAGCTGGCTAATGGGATGCTGCTTCTGAGTGATCTGTGCGTTGCTCCTTAGTTTGCTGTTGACGTAAAGATGTTTTAGAAGGGTATCACTGAGGGTGTATCAAATAAACATATGTTGAAAAATCAGGCTACTTCATCTTTGGATTTTGACTTTGGTTAAGCTGTTTTTGCTGAACTGCGAGGTCTTTCCAGTTCTTCTACAGTTCCCAAAATCCTTTTTGGCTGCATTTTCTTGTAGCATTTGCCTTCAGTGCAGCACTACTCTATTTCAGTCATACAGTTAATTGAGGTGGTTGGAGGTCAGCCAGTTTGACCAAGAGCCCCAGCCTGGCCATTTGATAATCCAGAGGTACTTAGCACGGAAGATCCTCTGTGAAGATTATGGTATTGAATTGGAATTACTCCCCATATGTCAAAAGTACATTAAACGTTTGTGCTTGAAAGGGGCAGCTGGWAGGGCAGAAAGTATTTTATCTCCACTGAATTGAGATTGGTCTCGCTGACCACCATTAGTAAGCAGGGAAAGGAACGTGAACCTGAGGGACTGGGAAGTGAAGGCAGGAACAAAGCCAAGAGAAKAGCTGCTTTCACGATTGCCGGCCTTGTCCTTGGCTAGGAGTCCCTTCTGCATTTAGGGTAGAGGGAAACAGGGAGCCCAAGTTCTAAGATCTCATTGCTCCTGCTGGCCGTGCTGGTTAGTTCTGTAGGGTGTTGGAGGGGGAGGACTCACAATGACAGCTGGGTATTAAATTTGTAAATAACTTGATTCTCAAATGTTGTCCGTTCAGAAAATGAAGCTACAGAGTACTACTATTGCTGAATTTATTTCATTTGTGGAAAATACTGGTATGTTGAAAACCTTCATTGTTTTTCTATCTTTCTATTTTAAAAACTGTGAATACAACATATTTTAATTCTGCTGCAAAGATGATCATACAATTCTTAGGAGATTCAAAATGCTCTAGTACTTGCTTTCATAGTTGTTCCACATCATATTTTCTCTGTCTGACTTATACCAGTCTCATAACTTCTTATTGTACCTTTTTTTACATCAGTGTTTAAAAAGAATAGCTATTTTAAAACAGCTTTAAAGATTAATAATTCTRTCTAGCTGATGTACTGTGACTTGTGGTGGAAAGAATGGAATAATCAGAGCATTTAATGATTGCCGAAGTTTGTGATGATTGATGATCCACAGTTGGAACAACAGAAAGGACTTTTTTTTTGGTCTAAAATAAGATTATCAATCTAATTTAGTTTATGAAGGCCTACAGCTGTTATCATGGTAAAATGCCCCCAAAATACTGCAAAGAAATAATAATTTTCTTCAAAACCCTGTGCTCTCCCAGCACAGTACAGCAAAGTGGGACACGGTAATGAGAATGGGAATGCCTTCTCCCAGGAGCACTAAGTGGTTATCTAAAATAGCTTAGTAAGTTGAGGATAATGGAAATGGAGACCAGAAGAATCCCAGAAGATTTTCTTTTTTCTTGATAATATACCTCAGGGATCAGAGGATCTGRCTGGCAAAGGGAACAGTTTGAAAATGCAGCAGAGGCCTTTGTAAGGCTCATGCTGTGTGGAGAAATGAGAGAAATGTTGAAGTGTTCTAGCCCCATCAGGCTCCTCTTTCTTTCTCAAGGGTTCTTCTGCCATCTTAATTATAAACAGCGATTTCTGGGATAAAGGCAGCACTAGGCCTCAGGAAGCAAAATAAAACAATAAAAGTGGGATTTCTTGAGGTTTCTGCTTTCTAGGGGTCCTTCTTATGCTCTCTAGGGTCTCAAAACATTACACTGACTGAGTCAGCCCWAAGTTATGTTATCTCTTCAACATATATCATGTTAATGTATGATAATTATTTGCCCTTGGGAAAGTAAAACGCTGGCCAAGAGGAAGATAATCATAAGAAGGAAGGAAGGAAGATGGGCATGAAACCAGCATGTGGAATCAACACAATGCTGTTCTTTTCTGGGTAAGCCTGAGCCCAGCGCCATCTTCTGCCATGAGTCACAATCTCAGCCACATTTTTAACTTTCCCTAGGGATAACCATCCCATCCTCTGAGGCCTTCCTGTTCTCCCTGCATGTGTGATAAGGGTGGCAGCCAGTCATTCTCTTCCCTCAGCTGTTTGAGGAGATAACCCAGTATTAAAACACTGACAGCCAGAAAAGTAAAGACAAGGCAAACACTGTGTTTCTTAGTATATGGAAAGTGAAGGGCGGGAGAGAGATAAATATGAAAATCAGTTATTCGATCAAAGCAGAGACAAGGCGTGAAATTTATGGAGTCTCATTTGTTGTACAGTTGTTACATGTATGTGTAAAGGCCAAAGTCCAAAAATAAGAATTTACGGGTTTTAGAACATGATCTACTTTTACGTTTTCCATCATAAGTCCCTTTGATAATGGTTTAGTATGGTACAAATAAACTCATTTGAACTATTAAAGCAATAATGATTTAAAGAATGTATTTAAGAATGTGAACAGAGTACGTAACACTATTATATCTAAATTCTCCGATTTGGCTTTTCTTTTCCTAACTTTAAAATATTTGTGATATTTCATTATATTTACCTATACCTGAGTTCCTTGTATTTAATAGACTGCCAAGTATATTTTATCAGACTCCTGATTGCTCTGGTGCCGTAGCTACTTGAGTATAGTTGAGTGTGACCTGTTTTCACTTTGAGCAGGGGCAAACCTGACATCATGTTCTACGTCCTCCATTAAACTTGAACTCATTTTTCTGGTGTGGTTTGCTGAAGGCAAATAGATTTTTATTTATTTTTTTTAGAGCTATGCAGAAGTGTGATAGTGAGTAGGAGCAAATATAGCGTATTGTATACTCAAACATTTACAGAAACTGCAGCACAGGGTGAGAGCTTTTCATTTAGGCGCTTGTTTTACTCGCAGCATTTGTGAGAGTTCTCTTGCCCTACCATGGATATTCGGAGAACTCAGATTAGTTTTGTGATGGTGTGTTTGATTTCTGCTGACCTTATTTTTCCCCCCTGTTTTAGCCTGTATATGCTTTTATAATATGGAGTGTTTGAACCAGACTTTTTTTTTTTTTTTCTCTAGCAGTCTGGGAAAATTGACGAAATTCTCTAAGATTATTAATCTACTGGAAATGTTTTTAGTCATCATCTTGCTAGAGATCATTCAAGCGGTAATTCAGTCTTCCTTCACATTTAATGAAGCATAAGGCAACAGGCCTCCTGGTGTAAATAATGAACTCYGTATTCCACTTTTGTCAAGTTCTTCAGGAAAGAGGGATTCATCTGTGTGTCACTAGGTAGACAATGAGAGTGCCCTTTAGAATTTGCCAGTGGAACATTTCTGGAGATTAAATGGAACAGTCAAAATTGCAAAATACTGTTTTGCTGGGGGTAGTTGCAGTCTTTTAGGTATGCTTTTTTTTTTTTTTTTTTTTTTTTTTTTTTTTTTTTTTTTTTTTTTAACTTCTCCTGTGTTTGTTGTGTAAAAGGCAGCATCTAACATCTGTCTGTTTACACTTACTAATACAATGCCTAAATGTAATTGTTTCACAGAAGTATAGTTATTTTTTCCATATTAAAATCACAGTTAACTTCTGGAGCACAGCAGTCCATAGAGTAATAGGGTTTTCTACCAGGGCATGCTGCAGTTCACAGGCAGAAGGCAGGAAGAAGTTTCTTCTCCAGTACTGTGTGTAAGACAAAGTTACTTATTCTGCTTGGCACGTTGTCTACATTTAGGTTCTCAACAAGAATAAGATTAAAAAAAGTGGGCAGAATAATGAAGACAAAAGCAAAATAACATAATGAGCTATTTAGTTTTGTGCATCTTTTTATATGAAAGGATTTTTGTAGTTGGAGTACTTGGGCATGGATTACCTCGTATTTATAGAAGTCTTGTAATGCTCTTCTGCAGCATTCAAGAAATACAACAAAGCTTGGAGCAGAACAGGCCTTTC